CACTGGACTCAGGAAGGGAGAGGAGCTGTGTGCTGATGGAAAGGGGGAGCAGGCCTGTGGGGTGTATCCTTTGGTTATTTGATGATGCATGGAGAGGATTGTAATCATTGCAATGAAACAAAATAGGATAGGATGAATGTAAAACTGATGTTCTCCCATGTAAACCCACATAATTCACAATTAAAAAAATAAAAGTAGCAGAACATCCTTGATATAATGTCAGAATCTGCACCTCTTAGGTTTGAAGGCACTCAAAATAACACTGAGGAAGAACTGCCTTCTCACAGCAGCATTGCCCATGATAATACAAATGGAGTAAAACTTTCAGGAACTTCATTTCCTGGTGGGGACACTCAAAATAAGGAGAAACAGCTATAAACACCCATTAATAATCGAAAATGGCATGTATGAACTGTGAACCTTGAAAAATCGGAAGTTATAAAAAATGAAATAGAACACAAAAACATCGATATCCTAGACATTAGTGTGCTAAATGGACTGGTACTGGGCATTTTGAACCTGAAAATCACATAATTTACTATGCAAGGAATGACAAATTGAAAAGGAATAGGATCCCAGCCTTCATCAAAAAACAATAACAACAACAGCAACAAAACATTTCAATATTTATCTTGAAGTAAAAAGGTGTCTGTGATAGTATAATTTCCATGCTCCTGCAAGGAAGACTGGAGTCCTGAAGGATAAGCGGTCAACCACAAGTTTGGTTTAAATGATAAGGTCAGGGGTGCAAACTCACCAAAATCTCCTCAGAAACAATGTGCATGGATGCTATGAGTTGGAAACAAAACAACGACAATTAGCAACAACAATAAACAAGGAAGACCAGTTAATAAAATTGTTACTCGAATTTATACACCATCACTAAAGCCAGTGATAACGAAATTGAAGAATTCAACCAAATGTCTTCAGTCTGAAATTGATCAAACACTCCATCAAGATATGTTGATAATTACTGGTGACTGGAATGCAAAGGTTGGAAACAAAGAGTAAGGAACAATAATTGGAAAATATGGCCTTGGTAATAGAAATTATGCTGGAGATCACACCACAGACCTTTGCCAGATCATTGACTTCATTGCAAATACCTTTTTTGAATAACATAAGAGATGACTATACACATGGAACTTACAAGGTAAAATACACAGAAATCAAATTGGTGTCATCTATAGAAAGAGACAGTGGATAATAGCTCAATATTATCAATAAAAACAAAGCTAGGGGCAGACTGTGGAACAGACCATCAATTGCTCAAATTCAAGTTCAGGCCAAAGATGAAGAAAATTAAAATAGATCCATGAGAACCAAAGTATGACCTTGAACATATTCCCACCAGAATTTCGAGATCATCTCAAGAGCAGATTTTATGTGTTAGACACTAGAAAAGGAAGACTAGAAAATTGTCAAACAGGAAGAAACCAAAAGGTCATTAAGAAAACGAAAAAGAAGGTAATGACCAAAATGGATGTCAGAAGAGTCTCTGAAATTTGCTCTCCAGCATAGAGATCCTAAAGCAAATGGAAGAAATAAGGTAGCAAAACAGCTGAATAGAAAATTTCAAAGAACAGCTCCAGAAGATAAAGTTAAATATTATAATGAAATGTTCAAAGACTTGGAGTTAGAAAACCAAAAGGGAAGAACACACTCAGCATTTCTCAAATTGAGGAAACTAAAGAAAAAATTCAAATCTCAACTGGAAATATCAAAGGATTCTGTGGGCAAAATATTGAATGATGCAGAAGCATCAAAAGAAGATGGAAGGTATGCAGAGTCACTGTACCAAAAACAAACGGTTGATGTTAAACCATTTCAAGAGCTGCATATGATAAGAGGCAATGGTACTTAAGGTGGAAGTCAAGGTGCAGAGAAGGCATTGGCAAAGAACAAAGCTCTGGGAATTGATGCAATACAAATAGAAATCGTTTAACAAACTATTGCAATACTGGAGGTACTCACTAATCTATTCCAAGATATTTGGAGGAAACCTACCTAGCCGACTGATTGGAGAGATCCATATTTGTGCCCATTCCAAAGAGAAATGACACAATGAAGTGTGGAAATTTTGGGACAACACCATTAATCGCTCATGCAAACAAAATTACTAAAGATAATTCAAATGGCTGCAACACTGCAAAGATAAAAGAACTGACAAAGGGTTAAAGCCAGAGTCAGACAAAAATGTTTACCTGTGCTTTATTGACTACACAAAGTCTTCCAGTTAGGTAGATCATGACAAGCTATTGACAACATTGTAGAGAATGAGTATTTTGGAAAACTTAATTGTGCTCATGAGGAACCTATACACAAACCAAGAGGCATCTTTGTTTATGTATAGGTTCAAATAGAACAAGGGAACATTGAATGATTTAAAATTAGGCAAGGTATGCCCCAGGATGGCATTCTTTCACCATATTCATTCAATCTGCATGCTAAGAAAATCATTAAAGATTCTGGATTATATGAAGATTGGATTGTAGGAAGACTCATTAACAATCTTCAGTATGTAGATGATAAGATCTTTCTTGCTGAAAGTGAAGAGAACTTAAGTACTTATTAATGAAGAGCAAAGCAAAGCACACCTCTCATTAGTGCTACATAACGGAAACAGATATAAAAATGCCAACTAATGTTGTGTGGCCAACAATCTATGTGTGGCCAGGAAGAACCGATGACAGCTATTTAGATTATAGTTTATGCAGCCAATATTTCTGGTACCATACTAACATGTCATAAACTTCATAAACTAAAAGAGACACCCTATTTCTGCATCCAGAAAATTTAGTTTCACCTTCTGATTTTAGTATTCAATTAGATGAGACTCAGGATAAGATTGCCACTGAGAGCTCTTTAGTATTATTCATTATGTTGATGTCTGGATTTCTTTTTCTTTTTCCTCCTCATCAATATGATATTTATTAGTTAATGTACTCTCTTTCATCTTACCAGATGTCTAAAAGAGACTGAGATAATTAGAATATGACAAGGACAAGTACATGAAATCAATGAGAATGTATTCTCTCAAACATTATTTTTCTCAGAAGATGAAACCTTTCAGTACAATGCCCATTATTTAAATGAAACAATTACAATTTACTTTAATGCAAAAGTAGCCAACACAGTCATGTATATTTCAGTTGATTTTCTTTTGTTAATGCTGATAATTTCTCTTTTTCTCTAGATATATCTTCATGTACTGGCCACAAAAATAGTAACACTGTGACAATTAAAATGAATTCCTTCTTAAAATTTCAAATTTTTTGTAGCATAGTTTACCTGGATTATATTTGGGAGTACCAAGAGGAAAAAAAAAAATTAAAATTACTATAATTTGATTTGTTAATATGTTTCTTTTTACTCATATATCACACTTATTTTATGCCCAACCAAAATTATTCTCACTAAGTTCTAAATTGAATAGAATGAAAACCCTTCTATACACATAACTCAATAAGTAAACAGCATTTTCTGCTAGTCCTTCTAGTTGTTAAACTTTATAATTATACTTATGTTGTTGTTGTTGATTGTTGCCAAGTCATTTCTTACTCATAGCAACCCTGTAGAAGACTTCCAGGGAGTCTTGATGGGATTGAACTGCCCAGCTTGTGGTTAGCAGTCCAGTAAGTGTCATACCAGCGCACCAATGGTATTCAAAATGGACTTACAAATAAAGTACACTAGTATATGGAATATGGAGTACTTGTGTGGCGCTGTGGTCTAATGTGTCAGACTGCCAAGTCATTTGAACTTCAAGGTCAGTCATTCAAGCTCACCAGCTGCTTCTTGGAAACCCTATACATGGTTGCTATGGGTCAGAATCAACTCGATGGCACTTAACGACAAAACAACAACAATATGGAATATATTTTCTTACAAATAAGTAGTTTAATTTTTGCTTTGGATCACAGTTTTAATGACTTTTAATTTCATTCATCAGAAGATTAAACAAGTCATAAACATTTCTTGTCTTCCTCACTGAATTCACAAGCAATGAGAACTAGATTTAGATTTATTAATTATTATTTCAAATCACTGTATTGATACAGTTTTCTTGTTATCATTGTTTACTATATACTTTCAATTTGTTGTTGTTGTTAAGTGCCGTCGAGTTGGTTCTGACCCATAGCAACCCTGTACAGGGTTTCCGAGGCTGGAAATCTTTACGGGAACAGAACGCCTCATCTTTCTCCCACGGAGCGGCTGGTAGTTTCGAACTGCTGGCCTTAAGGTTCGCAGCCCGATTCATAACCACTATGCTACCAGAACTCCTTACTTTCAATTTAGTGTCTCTTAAATCTAAGCGTTAGCAGAAAGTACTAATTTAAATAAATGAATGTCCACATTTATCATGTATAGTTATTGTTACTGTTAAATGCTGTCAATTCCAGTTGATAGAGACACTGTATAGGGTTTCCCAGGAGTGGCTGGTGGGTTTGAACCATTGACCATGTGATTAGCAGTCCAGTGCTTATCCTACAGCAGCATACTAGGATACCATTATACTTATTACCTATTTTCAAACTGTTATTGGTATTTAACAAATGAAAATCGTTTAAGAATATTTAGAGTCAAATCTGCAAACATGATTATCTTTATGAAATTCACATTTTAAAAGCAATATGTATCTATATATCTATATATACATTGCTGTTGTTAAGTGCCATCGAGTTGGTTTCGACCTATAACAACCCTGAATAGGGTTCCCAAGGAGTGGCTGACCTTGTGGTTCAAATAGACCTTGCGGTTCATTCCCCAAAACTCTATCCAGGGCTGCTATGAGTCAGATCTGACTCTATGACACTTAAGCACAAGAACAATATATAGAGATATGTATGTATGACGATACAGCAGTGAGTTTGGCCCAGGATCGGGCAGTGTTTCGTTCTGCTGTGCAGAAGGTCGCTATGGGTTGGTACCGACTCGATGGCACCTAACAACAACATGTATGAAGAAATAATTTATTTGTGATTTCAATGCAGACTTACCTTGCCTACATATTGGTAATCAGATCCTGTATATTCCTCCAGTAAGAAAAATTGATTCCACATCCAACCACGTTTTTGACGATGCAGAATTTTGCCATCAGTCCTTGATACACGTGTGCCTAAAATTCTTTGTTGGGGCACAGAAGTCCTTCTGAAGAGTATCTCTGGACAACAGAAATTTGGAAGGCATACCCACAGTAGAAAGAGTAGCAAAAATGAATACAATGTCATAGTTCACTTCTCGACAAATCCCAATATGGATGAAGGAAAGAAGTCCTATTTTCCAGCGCTGGATTTTATTGTGTTTCAACTGGATCCCAACAGTTCATCAGAGTTTTGTTCATGTTTCAAAAAGCTAATTAAAAAAAAAAAAAAATCAATCCGTTAACAACGTTATGAATGTTACCTTTCATTTTCAATTAAAATGACAACGATTTATTTAATTATTGTAATAAATATTTGTTTCCTCTTTTTCATAACATAATGATTAGTTCGGGCAACATTAGCTATCTTGTAACATGACTAAAATTTAAGAACAAATCATTTTAAATATTTTTTTCGGACAAATTCTAAAGTCAATGCTATTAGCCCCCTGTTCCATACACATCCCACCCATTCACTCACTCCTATGCATATCTAGTTGTGGAGCTTTTTATTGGTTTTCAGACTGATAATTCCCATATGGAGTGGATATGTATTTCATTATGCTTGGTTATTCTTCTAGTGTTATTTGACGTATATTAAAACTTTAATAACCAAAATACTTTAAATAAACCACAGAAAACATACATTCTGTGATCTAGTGCAATGATACTTCAATATTGTGTCAACAGTGTCAACATTTCTTCAAATGTAATACTACACAGAAGTAAAAGTAAAACAAAAGAACAAATACCAAAAACAAAAACAAAACAACAAAGGAATGTCTTTGCTTGAAAGTCTTCCATGACCCTGCAATCAGATTTGTCTGTTGGTCTATTGAACACTTCTGCCATCTAGTCAATTCTGACTCACAGTGACCCTATTTAGAATTTCTGTAACTTTTTACAGGAGCAGACAACCTCATCTTTCTCCTGTGGAGCAGTTAGAAGATTTGAACTGCTGATCTTTTGGTTAACAGTTGGATCACTTTATGTACTATACTGATATGATTTTTGCCATAGTAGGAGTCAGGACTCAGGTAATGTGGTGGTGGGATGCTTACAAATAGATAGATTGTGCAAATGCATCAGAGGTGTAGCTGAAAACATAATGCAATCCCCCTTCGATCAAGATTGACTATCTTATTGCAAAGAAGGATTTAATTTGGGGCTGTCAAAACCCAAGCATGAGCTGGTCCCAAGCCAGGCAGGAGCCATTATCTGAACACACCTGGGTCCCACAATGCTGGTCCCTCATGAAACCAGGTATCAGGACAGTGTAGGTGTGGGCAGAGTTGGAGCTATCTCATAGTCAGTGACATACAATGCCTCTGCACCTGCAGCTCTCAAACTCAACCATAATATCCTGACTATGGCAGCAATCTCCTCAGGCTTCCAGACAATCTTCTAAAAAAGTCATCCCTACAATTCTCTTCTCAACAAAATATGAAAGGTAATCCTACCAAAATTTCAATCATACTACTTCTCTGCATAACACACTCTGACAACTCTTCCTTCACCATGCACCACACATGACGTGCCCCTTCTGAATCGGGACTATTCTATACATTCCCTCTACCGTAAATGTTCTTTTTATGGATAGTCACTCATCTAGATCCTCTTTCTCCTTCTTGTCTTTCTTTAAACTCATGCTTGAAATTTCATATCTTCTTAATGTTATTTCTTAGAATCTGTCATTAGCCAACATACTATATGTGTTTTATTTACTTATCCTGCATATATCCTAAAGAGTCCTGGTGGTGGCATAGCAAGTTAAGCGTTGGGCTGCTAATTGCAAGGTCTGTAGTTCAAAGACACCAGCTGCTCTAAAAAAGAAAGATGAGGTTGTCTGTTTCCCTAAATACTTTCAGTATTGGAAATCCTAAGGTGCAATCCTATACTGTCCTACAGGGTCACTGTGACTCACTGGCTTAACAGCAGTGAGTATATATTGTCTTTCTGCCACAGCCTCGTGCATTAGCAGATTTTGTTCTTCTTTTCTATTATATCTTGTCTGGAATAGAATCTTGCACACAAAAGAAGCTTAATAAACAATTTGAATAAATGGAGTTATAGATTGATACAAACGTCTAACTGCCATTACCTCTTTTATGTAATTATTCCCAAGCATTTATGTATGCGGCTTTTGTTAAGTATTGTCAAGTAAGTTTCGACTCATAGCAATCCTGTATAGGATTTCTGATGGGTTTGAATCACTATCTTTTTGGCTAATAGTGCAGTGCTTATCCTATAGCTTCACACCCCGACTCTACAGCACCACACCACCACACCAGGCTCCAATTATGTAGTGGAAATACATATTCTAAAGTCATAGCCGATTTTATTTTGTTCTTAATTTACATTATTATTATAATATAACTTTAAATTCCATTTTTTCTATGTACATTGCTCTTATGTTTTTTATTGTTTTGTTTTTTTGTCTTTTTTTTTCTTAGGTATGCATTTTAATTTAGGATAGGTTAAAATATTTGATATAAATATTTTAAATTCTATTCCCACAATGTAGCTTGGTAATCAAAAAGATTGACCACTGCTTCTCAAATAAGGGAATGTGTTCTAAGTACTCTGGCATTTACATTTGTGTTTTTATGCACATTGATTTGTAAGCAATCTGTTTACATTTTTTTTTATTATTAAGAAGATTTAAAGGTTAATGCAAAAGTACTTTGAAAATAAGATTGATGGTGAACCAGTATTCCCCTTGAGCAGATTAAACGACAACAGAATTCTTTAAGGCATATGAAGAAATACAACATGACACATGTAAGCTTTATTAAAATAAGTCATATAATATTTTATGCATAAAATAGTCTTAAATCAACATGGTATTGATTTTACAGAAACCCAAATTGATTGGAATTGAAGTAAAAGGAACATTTATCAAATGGTGGTTTGTTTTTATATGTATCAGTGATGAGCATTGCTTTTAACAATGAAATCCTAATAGTAAAGTGGATTGGGGGTAGGGAGCTAACATAATTGAGTTCTGTATTTTTTGTGAATAGTAAACACACATAAATCATGTACACCCATTTAAAACAGTTCTGGCACAGTGCAGCCATGCATGCATAACACATGTCTCCTTACATTTCCAGAAAGAAGTTAATTTTGGCCACAATCACACTTATTAAATAGTCTGAAAATGCTACTTTTGGTTAGTCAAGGGTGCTTCTAACAGTTAGCTGTAAAATTTCATTATCTTACAATCCCTTTGTTCCTTGGACTTGTGAAGCCCTCCTTGTATTTGCATAATAAAGGTAGACATCATGGCTAAAATGCCAAGGGTAGAGTTTGGTAGTACCTTGCTAATGGTAAAATAAACAAAATTGGTTTGATCTTTAGATCAAATTGGTTTGATCTTTAGGCAGTTACCTACCACAACAGAAAGAGGTAGAATTCCTTGTAGACAATGTATGCCCAAGTACTTGTTGGAGATGGGCAGAGTCTGATAGAAGACTTTGTGAGAGGTTGCAAAAATCCAAGCACAGGCTAATATAACAGCAGGTAGGTCATTGTTTGATCACACTTGGGTCCTCTAGTGATGGCCCCATAAGAAGTCAGGTGACAGGACTGTGGGCACAGGCAACAACTGCTACAGCCAACTCCCTGGCAGATACATGGACCTATTTCATCCAAGTGAGGGAGTGAGAACAAATGCATGCAGCTCAGTCCGAGTAGCTCTTGCCTGTGGGGCACAGATCAGCTCATCTCCTGAACTGTGGCCAGTTGCCATGTAGAAAGAGGTGGGCAGAGTAGGGAATTAATCTAGCCAAGAGAGGGGCTCCTAGAGGAATTGTAGGGCAGACAGGTAAAGCTTTGTAGTTGGGAACCAAACTCCCCATCAACAGACACCAAGAAAAATATTTAACAATATATCCATTAGGCATATCACAAAAATTAACTCTGAAGTCAGCAACACGTAAAATTTATTGGTATAGATCACTTATTAAAATAATGAGTTGGAGGTCCTTTACAACTTTATTCTTATTTATGTCTCTTCACCTTAAAATAATTCTCAGCAGTTTTATAATAATTTTCAGGGAATAATCACAATACAATTATAATATCATCTATAAAGTTACAAGCCTATATTGGGCAGGATGCAGGTGGTGACAAAAAAATACTATAATTCAATTGTCTAATGGCAGATTTCCTGAATAACCTAGACTGTAATTCATTAATACTGATGTAAAAGTATTAAAACTTATCCAAAATATATTAGACATAAGGACTGCTTGCAAAATCATTTAAAAATATGATTCAAATATATACAAATAGATTTTATGAAAATGACTACCATCATTTTTCTCCAAAGTAAATACACCCGACATATGTCCTAGGTACTAGAGAGCCTATGTTATTGTTGTTAGGTTCCATCAGGTCAGCACCAACTCTTAGCAACCTTATGCACAGCAGAACAAAACACTGCCCGATCCTGGGCCAACCTCACTACTGTTGCCATGCTTGAGTCCATCGATGTGACCACTTGGCCAATCCACCTCATTGGGGATCTTCCTCTCTTTCTCTTTCCCTCCACCTTACTAAATATGATCCCCTTCTCCAGTGACTGGCCACTCCTGACAATATGTGTGAAGTATGAGAGACGAAGTTTGCGATCTTGGCCTCCAAGGAACACTCTGGCTGTACTTCTTCCAAAATGGATCTATTGGTCCTTTTGGCAGCCCATGACACTTTCAGTATTCTCCTCCAAAACCATAACTCAAAAGTATCAATTATTCTATGGTCTTCCTTATTCACTGTCCAGCTTTAGCATGCATATGATATTCTTGAAACTATCATGGCTTGGGTCAGGTGCACTTTAGTCCTCAAGCTGACATCTTTGCTCTTCAACACTTTAAAAAGGTCAAGTGCAGCAGATTTGCCTAAAGCAATATGTCATTTGATTTCCTGATTGCTGCTTCTGTAAGTGTTGATAGTTGATCCAAGAGGAATGAAGGCCTTGACAACTTCAATCTCTTCTCC